AATCCTGTCCTTTCAACTACATATGTTTACTAACAGCAATATTTTGGCAATAGCAAGAGATAATAAAGGAGATTTACCTGCTCAGCCCTCTTCAGTTAGTACCTGATGCTATAGTATTTGGTGGACTTTGGGAAATTAAGGGTTAATTAAGAGGGTTCATACTTATACATAAAAATATATAAAATTATTTTCCAGTTTCAGATTAAATCTAGGAATATTGGGGATATAGTTCAAACCAACTGGAAAACTTCAGAATGCTACTCTCAGTTTAGAACATTTAAGAAATGCATATTAAGGTTTAGATATGTTCATAATAGTAATAAGCCATATAAGACAATGTATAAGGATTTAGTCCAGATTAGCCTTCTTGTTTCCATCAATACAACTTAATTGCTTTCCATTTTTGTTATAATTGGATTGTGGTTAGGCTGTGTGTATGTAGTATTCAGTTTTCATAAGTATTTGATAGTCTGGTTAAATTGGCAAATTAATTTAAAATGCACTACAACATAAGCATGATAATCTTATTACATATGTTAATAAATTGATCACAGTATGAATCACTGGATAGTAGAGATTTTATGGACCAATGTTACATCTCAATTTATTTGGTATCTTTAATAATAATGTTTGATAGAAGATATACAGAGAAAGATATTCTATAACATGTATACAGAGAAAAAGATAGGTGCAGAGACTGTAGTGAAAGAGAACAAGAAAGGATTAAGATTAAAAGAAGCAGGAAACATTCAGGGCAATTTTGATGGAAATAATGATGGCTTGGAAGTAAACAAAAAGAGCTAAACATGGAGCCTCTAGATTGAATTGAATTAAAAATAAAAACATTAAAAAAGAATTTAGATGAAATTGAAATGAGGAAATCCTGGAAGTAATATTTTAGAAATGTGTATGAAAATGACAGTGATATTTCAAAGTGTGCAATTGAAATGAATTCTATAAATGTTAGTGTCCAAGAAGAAAAGTTATGAAAACTAAGTCCTAAATGCTGTAAGAATGCTGCAAAAGTACAGATGGTAACTGGAAAAATGTTAAAATATGGATGCAGTTTTCTTATGCAATAGATTTGCTTAAAATGTGTTTAAGAACTGCATCTCTGCATGATGACTGGAATGCATTTATTGTTCTCTACATAAAGTGAAAGTTTATAACAGTTAATGCAAAATTACAGGGACGTTTATTAGCTAAATATGTCTGAGAAGGTATTTGGCAAAATTCTGATCATATGGTACAGGAGGTGACAATGAGGACAATTTGAGAAGTAGTATTATACCAGACAAAGGGTGTGAAGACCAGAGTTTTGCATTTCAGAAAGTCATTGAATAATGTATGAGAAAGAAGGTTTACCTTTCATTTGTCATTTTAGAGAAAGCATGTACTAAAGTGAATAGGCTTGAGCTATGGAATGTTTTGCATGAATATGGAGTTGAAAGTTGGCTACTGCATGCTTCAACATTGATCAGGGATTAAGAAAAGGATGTGTGATGTCTCCTTGGTTGCTTAATGTGTTTATAGAAAAATTATAAGGAATGTTTTTGTTATATTAATTGTGTGTTGGTTGGGATATGAATATACATGAACTTTTATATGCAGACGATGCTCTGTTGATGGCTGAGGACCCAAATGATTTGCGGTGAATGTTAGATTTATTATAAGATACTGCAAGGGATATAGATCTGAAAAGGTCTATGTATGACATGGAAAACAGAATGAATGATTGTGAGTTCTACATAGAAGAAAATAATTAAAGCAAATAGCTCTAATTGTAACTTGCTAGAATGTTTACTAAAGATGGGGAAATGGATGTAGAAATTTTAAGATAAACAAATGATGGTACCATGATAGTGTGCCATAGGTGGTCTGTTGCAAGGAATGAATGTTAAAAGAAGTGAACGTGGAGCTGTACAAGAGTGTGTTTCTGCCTACTACATTAACAAGATTTGAGAATTGGGTCTGTCAAGAGAAACAAATAAGTTCAAAGCAGTGGGAATGGGTTACTTAAGAAGTTTGTGTAGTAAAACAAGAAAATATAGGACAAAAAATGAATGGGTCAAGAATGAATGTGGATTGAATACAAAAGTGAGTGACCAGTATAAAAAAGTATGGTGAAATAGTTTAGCCTTGTAACCAGAATGGTTACAAAACAAATACATGAAAGAAGAGTGAAATGGGTTGGAAGGAAGGGGAAGACTGAGAAAATGATGGTTGGATAGAGCTGACAAGACCCTCAAAGAGAAATTGGTGAGAAGTTTAAAGAACAAAAGGCAATGTATGGGTCATGGTACAGATGTGGTGGAAGCAAGCATGGTTTGCAAGATGTAAAGATATGGGGAAGTATAGTGGATGGTATTGGTGTAAGTTAAATATAGCTATATTTTTGTTTTTATTACTTATCTCATGTCTAATTTCTTTTATTTACTGTTTCCTACTTCTTTTCTGGACATAATATAATACTGCTTACCCTGACAGGGAATAGTCTGAGGCATGCATGTATAATATCTGAAGAAACTGTATTTAAAGAAATAACATACTTAGAAAGCAGTACATAATCATGCAGAAATCTTTGTGTTTAGCCACAATAAACTATGTCTATCGACAGTGCAATAGAGTTTTAGAAAAAAATGAATGATCTTCACTTTAAAAAATCCTTGGGTTGGTCTGACATGATTTGCCACGGTACAGAAAGCTTGCCAAAGGAGAATTACAACACAGATTCAGTTGGATTTCTCAGTTCTGCTGAGCCTAACAGCATTTTCTAACCTAGTGTCTTCCAGATGTATTAGATTACAGTTCCTATCATACCCAGTCAGTATATATTTCTCTACTGCTTGCCTAGGTTGGGAGTTTTTCCCATATGTTCATATTGGTCTCATATAACTCTTTTTTCCCTCCCTCCCTCCCTGTCCAAAGTTGTACAGTTGATGGGCCAATGACAAGCAATTCTAATATACCTTCCCAATGGGTGAGTTAGTAGACTTTCTGAAATGATATTTGAAGGCAGGTAAGAGTCAATACATTTAAAAAAGAGAAGAAGAGATGTGAATGGTCCATCTGACCTGGAAGTTAGGAATTTGTCTGTCCCAGATGAAATTACATTTGTTCTAAAACAGAGGTGCACAAGCTTTTTGATTGGTCTCTAACAAGATGGTAGGGCTGGGGGACGGGGGAAACTAAACTGGGCAGATGTCACAACTATCTTAAACAACTGGATTTATCTATTGTTTACAGTAGCAACATTTCCAAGGGAAATATTTCCCAAGGAATCAAAAAGATTAACCTCAGACTGCTGGATTGCAGCTTCGCATGTCACTATGGGTTTGGGGTTGTAAGGCAGAGGTGGCCCCTTCCCTAATTCTAATTTGGATAAGAAAGAAAGAAAAAAAGCACTAAGATTAACCTTGCACAGACACCAGAAACAAGGTTTTTGGCAAAATTTTTGCTAAGCTAGGCAAAATTAAACTAATGGAAACATTCATCTAAGATCATCTTGATATTTTATTTTTGCTTTAATTAGAACAGGACTGTGACAGAAAACCTGAAAAAGAAAAACAGAAGCAATCTCTTGATGTGATTTAAAATCTATTTAAGCTGTTATACTCCTACCTTTGTCTGGGGAAGCTACTTTTTATTTTTATTGTGGAGCAAGTCAGAATAAATAATAGTTTTGAATGCTTACACATGTATCACTGAATTACTTCCATAAAAGAAACAACATAAACTTGCCTTGCGTGCCAATATAGTACTCACTCATTCCATTGCTAATTAAATCTGAATATATATATAGCTTTCCATGTTTTATTCATGAAGAAGAAACTGGCAAATAACATTTTAATAGATCAACCATTACAAAACAGAGGTGAAAATGAACTAAACATTTCTTGCAAGCTGTAATTCACAAGACTCAATCACCTTAAAAAACCTATGCTTATGCACACTTTGGGCTTTCAAAAATGCATCCCTCATATAACTAAATAAATAAAACATTACTATGTTATTACAAAATATAGTAATATTACCTATTTTGTTTGTTCTTTGCTTCATGAAAAAGTAGGAGAAGGGGGCAAAATACATTCAAATTTTGAAAATCTCCAGGCTATCACATATCCTATTCATCTTTATCCTCTTCAGAGTCTTCAGAGCAATTAGTGTATTGGATTCAGACTGGAGAGGCCAAGATTCAACTCCCCTTTCAACAATGGAGTTAATTGGTTGGAGGTTGGATTTGAGGTAGTTGGAGCCAATCATGTTCTGCCAGCCCAAGCTACTTCAGAGGCTGTGGTTGTGGGATATCCCATATATGCTACATAAGTGTCCAGAGTAAAGATGGGATATAAATGCAAAAAATCAATGAACACATGAGGTTTTAAAAGTGGGTAGCAGACAAGAGTGCTCTCTGTTCCTTAAATTCCATGCCATGTGTTCAATTGGGAGCTCTGAATAGGAATCATACTTGCTTTCTTTATCTTGCCTGTCCCATGTTTCAACAGACTCTTTGCCCTGAGGTTCATGGCCTTGACACTGGTTGCTGGTCATAAGTGACAACTCTGCACTGAGAACTACTGGCTCTCAGCTTCTCTCACATGGGCATTTGTATATATTTGCAAGTCTATAGTATTTGCAGGTGGAAGCAGTGGCAGCACCTAGCCAAGAGACAGTATGTAATCCTTACTGGGAATCATTAGACACAGGTAGCAAGATCTATGAGGTTCAAGGGATATAGATATATGGATATAGACATATAGATATAATAAATATATATATACAGATATTGATCCATGAATGCTTAATGAAAATCTAATACCTGTCAAGTCAAATAATACAAATTGAAGAAAACAATTCAACCATATTTTCTGGTTAAATGATGTTGCTCATTAACCTTCAGAATTCTTTCATGCCTACTTAATCTGAGTATTTAACAAACCATTCCAGAAAAATTATTAAAGCTTTTAACATAAAAAAAAGTTAAGAAATGGTTCTCTTACTTTGACATGATGAATAAGATGCTCAACTTCATTCACTTTGTAAGTCTCTAGTCCTAACTCTTTAGACAGCCGTAAAACACGGTTTTGTGTGGGTCCCACATATGCTCCTCCCAAGTCAACATACTTGACGTGCTTATTCTGGTTGAGAAAGATAAAATAGCATATTGGTAAATGAATATATGGGTGTCACTACATAAATGGAAGAGAGGGGAACATGCATGTCAATGCATCTATCATCCTATAATATTGATAATTCTTTGCATAATGATTATAATGCCTTTTCCTGCTGGCCAGAGATATAGTCTTTTAAGAAGTCTGCATATACAACAGGGATCAGATTATGGCTCAAAGAAACATGATCCAGTTTTGCTGAAGCTGCTCAAGCTTGGGTAAGATTAATATTTATTTGTTTGTTTAATCAGTGTATATGGCTACCCACTCAGCATATGATTAAGGGTGGCATATGTCATTAAAAACAATAATAAATCCATAAGATTACATGATAAGAAGACAAAAAAGCATAAACCAAACAGAGATATATAGACATGGGAAAAAACCCTTATCCAACAGGTCATATCTCTCCCAGACCTAATGTCTGAGTAAAAACAGTTCTTTAATGTCTTCCAAAGGGCAGTCAGAGTTGACGCCAGGTAGATCTCAAGGGATATGTTATTCCATAGGGTAGGAACAGCAACAAGGAAAGTACATCTCCTGGATTCTGGCAAATGACATTGCCTAAATGACAGGACCCAGACCATACTGACCCTGACAGGTCTTACTGGACAGGTAGTAATAATTAGAGATAGAGAGTCCTGCAAGTAGCCTGGCCCTGTGCCATGAAGGGCTTCATAGGTAAGAACAGCACCTGGAAGTGAATTGGTAACCAGTGCAGCTTACGAATTAGAGGTGTTACATAGGGATACCAAGATATACCCATAACTACCCATGCCACTGTATCCTGGGCCAACTGAAATTCCCAAGTGGTCACCAAAGGCAGCCTCATATAGGGCATTTAACAGAAATCCAGTTGCAAAGTGACTAAGGCATGAATGACTGTCAGCAAGGGTTCCTGATCCAGGAACAGTTGCAATTGGTACACAACATGAAGCACCAATTTGAACAGCAAAATACTGCGAACTCTACATTCTCACATTTTATAGGGGAAAATTATATACAGATAGATATAGATATAGATATAGATGTAGATATAGATACAAGGTACTTACTCTTACTGTGTATGTTCTGCCTCCAACCCTGTCTCGGGCTTCTAGAACTACAACATCCAGTCCTGAGTCATACAGTAACTTAGCTGCAGACAGACCTAAACAAGAATAACCAAAAAAAAAAAAAAAGCTACATTGCACTTTTGTCACAAAGACATTCACAGCAATTTAAATTTTGCAATAAACAAGCTACAAATAAAAGAATTGTGAAAAATACTCTTTAGCATTAAATTAAGAATATAAGACCAAAATCTTAGAAAGTATTTTCAAATTCCATTTTATTCTGGTTTCAGAAGTGGATAGTACAATCTTGGGGGTTTAACACATGAGACTTTTATTATGTAACTGCCTACTTTAATAATGAAGCTTTATAACAGGTTCTCACAATGTTGTCCTTCCACATTTTTCACTTCTTTTTCTGACTCTTTTTTTTTCTTCTCAGTGCATTTTGATTAGTAATATAAGAACTGTCCCTTCTGGAGCACCCTGTAAACTTGATATTGTCCCAAGAGCTAAAAGAATAAAATTGGATTCAATGAATATATTAAAATGACCAACAATTTTAATAGTTTAGCTTTAATCACAGCTCATGAACAGAGCTAATTGTGAAGTACAGTTAAATATAAGAAATCACCTAGCATTTAAGCTAGTGATTCTTAGTCAAGATAGTGTACTCTGAAATACCACAGGAATCGCCCAAGGTCTCAGAGCTCTTCTGAGTCTACTACCTGTGGGAGGAGATAGTCCCTTTCCCAGTTTTGGAAGGACAAGCCAGAAAAGGAGTTCAAAAGAGGAATGCTTGAGGAAGGTAGGAATAAAGGAAAGTTACGTGAGAGCTATAGCTGACTGCTGATATTGATGGGGACCTGAGATGGTCCCCCTACTTTCCTGAAACTACTTGGTTGAGCCAGATCACATGCTTAGAAATTGGAGCTTTATAGTAATCTAGCATAAAGCATAGTAAAACAGAATGTCTGAATGAAATCATGAAATGCATTGTGGCATCTTAGTAGCAATAACTCTGATTCTTCCAAGATAAATAGTAGAATTAATCACATGGATCGATAAGCATAGATTTTATTTACACAAAGGGTATAGCAACATTTATTTTTTTCTTTTTTATTATGTTGTTATATATCTTGATACATTATACTGTTTCAGTACAGTGATGTTTATATAATATGATTAAAAGTTATTGATATTCTGTTATTTAGAAGAGAAAAAAGGTATTCTATCAATATTAATTACAATTTGGATGTCAATATTACAAGCATAAAATTATTTGGCTCGTTCATACAAAGTTGAATATAACATTGAAAAAAGAACCACTATGACTCACATAGAAGTATTTGTTGTATTATAGAGGTTTTGGTCTTAAGCTGATTACTTAATATTAATTACTCCTCTGTATTGCTACTTAGAGTGTGTGTGTGTGTGTGTGTGTGTGTGTGTTCATGAAAGGAAAAAATAGATAACAGAGCAAATTTAACAAGAATTAAAGTACCAAAAAGGAAACGGAAAAAGGATTTAAAAAAAAAAGAACTACAGCAACATTTAGGTAGAGGATAAGGCCAATGCTCCAAGCTTTCATAAGTAACCATGGCAACCTGTTTTCAAATAGCTTCCCCTTGGAAGATGCTACATTAGAGGAGATTGACATCCAAGGGCTTTTACAGAGCTGCAGAGCTTGCTCCCCATTCTCATAGGAATCTGTATTAAAATTAATGTGTGATCAAAACGTCAGCAACCCTGACTGAGGATTTCATTTTTTATTTGATAACATCAGAACTTACATTCAACCATAACATTCTTATAAAACATGATAGATGAAAAGGTAAAATAAGAGAAAAGTTAAATAAATTCTCTCAAACTTGACTCAGTTCTATAATTAGATAAAATCTGGTTGTAAAATCTAAGTTTTGATTGACAGTGTGCATATACGGTTAGAGAAAACCTTTTTAAGGAGTTTGATAAAGGATTTGCTTCATGAAATAAATAATTAGATATGCTCATTTCTTTCATTCTACTATTACATTTGTTCATCCAGCTTTTGAACATGTACAAAAGATAGAACATGTCATCCAGTTATAAAACTGAAATGACATTTGATCTTTTTAAACCATAGGCAAGTCTGTGAATTAAACTATTGGGCACTTTAACCAATGTTAGAATTTAATGCTACAATACTTTAGTCATTTACTTAGGAGTAAACCTCCTTGAAATTAATGGGACTTTTGGGTAGACGCATATAGGAATACAGACATGCACACACACACACACACGAGGTAGGAGCCCAGAAGCAGTGTCTTCCTTCATTGACCACACCTTCTGGAATACCCTTCCCTCCAGTGGTCCAGTCAGCATCTACTCTCTAATTCTTCATAAGGTTATGAAGACAGAAGACAGACCCCCCCCCTTTTTCAGAGGGGGTTTGAAACCCAATTCTTGCTGGGTTTGGTATCAGGCTTGTTCATGTGACTGCTGTTTTTTGTTGGTTAGTTTTTGTTTTTTGCTTTTTATTGCAAACCTTTTATCGTATGTCTGTTTTTAATTGTTTGTAAACAATGGGAGTTGGG